GTCTTTATTTTACAGTTACAATAAATGTTTATCAAATAATGTTTAATGTTACAACTAACCGTGGATCCCTTTAATGAATCGAAACAAACAACTCTTCAAACTTTGCTTCATTAACAACAAAAAACATCTTCAGTTATAAAGGTAATTCTTAAGTTTTTTCTTTCAGGGAAAAAAAGGAACATGTTTCATCTCACTTTATTCATGTTCACATGACCTTTTCATATATGTTAGAAGTTTAAAAGTACATTTTATCTCTTAAATAAGCTGTAAAATAATCAAACAGCTCAGAAGAGGGACATTGCTCATCAGATGACTGAGCGTCTGGCTCTAGCAGACGATGAGTGTTTAGATCAGACAGATGGAGTGAGTGTTTTCATTCAGACATCGCATCTTGTTTTTTTTTCTCACCATGTTGTTTCTTCCACATTGTGAGAGAAACAATGACTGACCTGCTGACTCTTCCTTGCTTTTTTTTTTTCCTCCAGCCTCCCACTCCTCAGCTGCCATTAAAGCATGTAGATACACCGGTAAGTAACAACTCTTTTTATATATATATATATTTATATGTATTATTTTTTATTCAAGGGACATGCTTTGGAAAAGCTGTTCATTCACTAAAGCTGGGATTGTTATTGCAAAGTGGTTTGCAGCAGCAATATGTTAACCAGATTTTTCTGCCTGCATTTGAACTGATGTATTTTTTTAAACCTCATCCACAGAAAAGTTGAGGCAATTTCTGAAATGCAACTAGTTTTTACAACAGCATGAAAAAACATTTTTAGTTGCCTTTGTTCAGAAATTTTAAATCAAGGTATACAGTATTTAAAGTTTTTGTTGCATTTCTAGAAAACTTTTTTGCTGGAAACTGGGGTTTGCACTTTTGTTATTTTGGCAGTCTGCCATTAATTTAGCTTTCAAACAGCCAGGCTTTCTTATAGTCTTTTAAAGTGGTCTTAAATAACTGTTATCCAGACTTTCTGAGGGAGTTTCATAAGTTTTTCTTTGGACTGAAGCTGCTTTTATTAGAGCATAAATGAATTTGAGGTGGTTTGAAACGTTTGCGCTTGCACTTTCGATTGCGGAATCTATCAAGATACAAATCCACAAGTCTTGTTATTGTGCGATAAATGCAGCGATGTGCAAAATTATAATTAAAAGGAGGTGAAATGACCCCTTTTTAAAATATTGCTGAAGCATGTACAAACCAGAAATAAATAAAAATACAGAAAACACTTATTGAAGATCTGCAGTTGTTAACTACTGGGGATACACTTTGATAAATTGACCACGACCGATGCATTAAAGCATTCAAGGGGTGATTAATCAATTAAACAGTTATTAATTAAAGCTGTTGGAGCTGAAGAGGAAGCAAGTCCGTTCTAGGAAAACACAGATAGCAGCTCTGTGCAACTAAATCAGCTTCATCGCAAGAAATATTTTAAATTTCATTTACTCCTTTATAACAATTTATAATTTCAAGCACATGTGCCAACATCAAGGAACACGTTTACAAAATATTACAAATTACATAAATTAACAAACTTAAAAATAAGTTTATTAAATAATTTTTCTCTTCAGTAAGTTTTGACAAAATATTAAACTCTTGTAATCAGTATGGAAATCATATTACAGGATGAGTCAAAAGTCTCAGGACACCGATTTATTTTGGAAACTTAAAAGAAAATGGAACATCTGTAATTCTGGTCTTATGTAATGTGCTACATGACCCCCCTCCCATCAGGAATTTTTGACTTTGATCCAATATAACGGTTTTCAAGATGGTGGCCGCATTCTGGACATAACATAAAAGATAGTCCATCACCCATAACATGCTGAGGAATTCAGATAGTTCTTTTTCCTTTTGTTTCTGAAATAAAAGGCTGTCCTGAGGCTTTTGACTCACCCAGTATTTGATATGTATTACAACAGAAAAAAATAATGTGTCTTTCACTTCACTGGCACAGTTCAGTGACATTTGTAGTCAAAAAGAAACCTGATGTGTAGGAATTTTATACAAACTTTAGACTTTAATCATTCAATTTGAATCATCCTTTTTCCAGAGTGCAATGATTTTACAACATTGAAGGTAACCTTTTATTATTTTATCCACTTTATGCAGTGTACCAATACCACAGCCCGATGCTACACCACCATGCTTGATGGTACAGTGTAACAAAGTTTCCCTACCATTTATCCAAGGAGAGCGCCCTGCCCTGTCAACAGAACCAAGTGCCTCAAACCCCCACCCTCATGTCCAAAGTTCTGTTACTTCCGGACAGGGAGTGGGGATTTTAGGATGAGTAGCTTTGACCTAGCACCCCCACCCTCCATCCCGACCCACTGGCAACTATGATGATGTAGCGCTAATGCTACCTCCAACACCACATCCTGCTTGTTGACAAGTATTGTACCAATGAGGTGTATATACCTCATTGTATTGTACTGCTACCTCCCCCTGTTTGATAAGCGTCCTGCCAAAACCAGTAACGTGGGGGAACACTGTCTTTGGTTTGAAAGCCTCATCTTGACTCTTTCAAATATACTTCTGCTTGAAAGCTCAAAATTATCTTAGCATTCTAAAACATTCTCATGTCGGACTCGTCAACATATTGAGGCTTGGGCAGGGACCGTCTGCGTCCAGTTTTGACGCGTCGGGTACCCCCCGCGTGCCCGTCCTTGCCGTCTGCGGCTTTTCCAGGTTACGTTACTTAGGGGTATATTTGGGTCTGAGGTTAACATGAGGGATCAAGATTAATGGTTAATTTGAGATACTGGGTTCAGGGATAGGCTGTACAGTATATAGCTAATATAGGTTAAATTTAGGCTCTGGGACAGTTAGTTCTCGCAAATTCTCTACATTTAAAAAAACTAATATGAAGGATCATGGTTAATGGTTAATTTTAGGGTCTGTGATTAGGGGTAGGCCATATAAGGCTAACAGAAGTTCAATTTTGGGTCTGGCATGGTTAGTTTCGTGCATTTCCTACTCTTGTAAAGAAATATCATGACGTGCTCATCCTCCTCCGCCTCATCTCGTAAAGAACGGACGCAGACGGCTACCTGACCAGGCGTCAATATGTTGATGCGGGGGGCATGAGAATGCATTGAACATTCACACCTATGATGAGTGTACAGGGTTTCCCCTAGTTTACTATTAGGCTGTTGAGCCACCAGACTTTACATGCCTCACTGCCAGGCTAAAGCTAGGTCTATAGTTGACGCGTCGCGCCAGGCGTGAGGCGCCGCGCGCCAATAGTGACGCAATCGCTCTGTCCCTGCCCCTGTGAGTTGGCCTCGTGCAGTGTCTTGGCACGTGGTCGTGCACCTCTGTACTTTTGTAACTCTGCAAAGGCTGCGCACACAGCGTACCATTCAAATTGTTTGCTTTTGCTCTCCTACTTACAACATTTTCACAAGTTATAAAGTGTACTTCCACGTGTCATTTTGGAGAAATCTACAGCAGCGTAAGCGCCAAGTATGAACACCTCCACTGCTGGCGAGGGTGCACACACCCTTAAACATCGTTTGTTTCACCAATGTCGCCCCCCAGAGCACGTTCTAAAAATAGCACTAACTGAGCAGCAGGCTGTCGCATTGCCCCTTGGTGTGCAAAAAAAAAAAAAAAGAGTCATATTCATCTTTAAACTCATTAGAGTTTAACAAACGCCCAAAGAAAAGGCAACAGGAGCTGCTGGACCAGCAGAGAAACACAGAGCTGGTTTACATCTTCCCTCTGTCTCCTCTCTGTCCCATCAGATTTAAAGGACTCTTTAACATTAAGATACAATCAGGCAGTCAAATATTCTCATATTTTCAAATGTAATATTATTAATGCTGTAATTAAAGCTGAGTCGTGCAAATTTGTATTTATGTATGAAGCAAGTAGCCCTCCGTGTTACTTTGTACCCCTGAAGAAGCTCTCAGTCTCAAAAATGTCTGTGAGCCCTGCTGTAGCTGTTTATGCTACACATTCTCACTCCCATCTCGTCACATATTGACGCTTTTTCCAAGGTTCCCTCTACGTCCGATTTTGACGCGCCGGGTACCACCCTCGCGTCAGTCCTTGACGCCCGCGGCTTTTCCGGGTTGCGCCACCAGGGGTCTTTGGCTCGGGGGTCTGAGGTTAACATGAGGGATCAGGATTAATGGTTAAGTTTAGGTACTGGGATCAGGGGTAGGATGTCCATGGTTAATATTAGGTAATTTCAGGCTTTGGAACATGTTGACGTGAATTTCCTACATTTTCTAAAAATAGGGTCAGGGACAGGATGTCTAAAGTGAACAAAGGTAATTTCAGGCTTCGAAACGGTAGTTTTTGCGCATTTTCTACACTTTCTGAAAATATGACAACTGATTTCGCCCCATCTCGTCAGTAAATGACGTGACGGGGGTACCCGGCGCGTCAAAATCGGACGTAGAGGGAACCTTGGAAAAGCGTCAATATGTGACGACATGGGAGTGAGAATGGGTTGGTTTATGTACTGTCAACAATGTCTTACAACAACACAGAATTGCATCAAGCTATATTTTAAATTTCCTGTTAACTTTTAACTCTTTTCTTACATAAACATGGTGCACTGCCGGCAGGTTTAGCCAGTTTACTGGGGTAAGCACTGGGAATATAACCATAACTAAATGCTGAAAGTTTAATGTTTTTTATTCCCACAGCATCCCACAAACAACGTTGTCTTCCTGCTCAGCCTGACTAGATCTGCGTGTTTTTGTTGAACTTGTTAAACCATGTAAGGTGTGCACTCAAACATCAGATTCCAGAAAAATAACCAACGAGACGGCCACTGCTAATTCCAAAGAAAAACTGTTTATTCAAGCCAGCAACAACAAGAAAGGGAACATTATTGCTTAGCTTGTTTAATTCTTTTTCAGATTAAAAGCAGCTCCTCTGTCTGAAATTAAAAGCAAACGAGATGAAAGTGGCACAGATGTTTTGCATATGATGGTTTTCTTTTTATTTTCTGAGTCACCATTTGGAACCGTAGTGAGTCAGAGCCGAGAATATAAACGCAGATCAGCCTGTGTACACCAGCTAACCTGGAGATTAACGGATAATTCGATACTGAAAAATGCAGACAAGCCAGTGGAAATGGAATGTTATCTAGTTGTAACTGTCTGTTTTTTCTTCATCATACCTGACCCAAACATTTTATGAAAATTGCCTGTTCTGTCACAAGTTGCTACTTCGTTTTTGTTGCTGGAATCTTATTAGTTTAAAAAAGTTATTTGTTTTTCTCTCTCTGACACACATACACACACACACACACACACACACACACACACACACACACACACACA